ATATAGTACCATTAAATAATTTTAAAAAATTTTGATACAAAAAAAAATCAATTTTTTTTAAATTATATATGTGTGCTAAGTAGAATTGCAGATTTTGTAAAAGAAATAAATAAAAGAGAAAATCGTAGCCATAGCAACTGTCGAAATATTCGATCTCGCCGAATAAATTTTATACACTAAATCTCTTATCGGAATTGGATTGATATTAATATGTAATACGGAAGAGAGAGAGAGCAATGGATTAATATTAATTCATTAGATTACCTGTAAAAGCAGGATGATGCATATTAATACACTTTCATAATCAAGTTATTTCAATGATCTATAGTTATTTTAATCGAGCGCATATGCATGTTCATTACACGTAACTTCGGAAACGATATTCTACACGCAGCTCCGTATAGTTCAATCCGGTAGTAACCTTATTCGCGGCGTACCGTGTCCTCCGGCGATCCGAGAGGATCCCGGAAGCAGACGGATGAGCAAATTGCATATTACCCTATCCATGAAATCGCTGTATAATCGCGTTTCGCATGTGTTATAACTTATAATTACTACATTAATAGATCTCTCTCTGCGGCGTGCATGTTGACCACAAACTTTCGGCGAAAAACTCAAAACTTTTTTTCCGACAAAGTTTTTTTTAACGAAGTCACGGAAGTCCTTACAAAAGTTTTACATTACATAAAAGCCAGCTAACGGCGCATTTTTTTCCGAGAAGGTAAAGAAGAAAAAAAAATTCAATCGCACGCCTGTCTCACAAGTACGCATGCTTTCCTTGTAATTTAAGAAGAATCAATAATTTGCATCCTCATTCACATGAACGGACCGCTGTATAGGTATCTCGGCTGTCCGCTTCCCTAACACCTGAAACGCGATTATCGTGTTTCGCGGCGTTATTACCGGGGAAACAAATCGCAGCAGTTTAACGTCGCCGGTGCCGTTACTCGACCGACCGGCGCGGTGTGTTCGTAAATCGGTTCGGATCTTGATAAGGGTCGCACGGGGAGGCGGCGATCCGATCCGGATGAGTCCCGCCAGTCCGCTCCGGCGGGAACGACCACTGTCGTTGCGCCGGGGAAACGAGAAGGTCTCGAAGGTGCATTCCGTGCAACAGCCCGGCGGCGGCCTGTTACGGACCGATCCCCGTGCCGCGGGGCGTTCCCCCGGTAGGAGTCTACGAAGTTGGCTAGATGACCAGATTACAGGTTTCTCTCTCGGTGCAGGAAGTCGTGAGATGCTTAATTGCGTTTGTCACGACGCTACGTGGCGGCGTATCTGTCTCGGTCCGGCGAGGTGCGGCGGCTCTCTCCTCGGCTTTTCTCTCCCTCTCTCTCTCCTCTTTCTCTCCGAGGCCGCGTTGCGGGGCAATAACAATGCTGGGATAAATTAACCGGTAGGCGGCACGGCGCGGCTGACTGAGAGCGGCTATAAACCGATCCTGTAAGGAGAGTCCGCCCCAGGTGGCCAGTTAACTGCTTAGCCTTAAAAATATACACGCTGCTCTGACCCTTCTCCACCCCCGCGTCACCTCTCCCCGCTTTTTCTCCTCTCTCTCTCTCTCTCTCTCTCCTGCCGCCTAACTGCTCCGTTCGCGTTCGAACGCGCTCGCGGTCCATCCCCTCGGACACCATCCTTCGCTCGAGCGAGAAGGCCAGCCAGAAGGATCTCCCCACGCACGCACCGCCCGTACGTCCCGCCATTTATCCCGGGCCGCGCGGACTGCGACGGGTTTATTGTGATTTACGTAACGGTGAAGGAGAACGATCGCTTAATCTTTCGCGCGCCCTACGCCGCGCCGGTCGTCGTCCCGGAAGGGACCGGAAGGGCCGGGCGAGTCGCGCACAGGTCGGACGCTAACTGATGGAAATCAGCTGCGTACCAAGACGGCGCGTACCCGCAATCGCAACATTTATTTCCAGACGAGATGTATTACCATGTCGATCTTACCGCGGTAGATGAATGGGCAAAATTGTTTCTCGGAGCGACTGCTATTTGTATCTGTAGCGCGCCGTGCGCGCGCTCCTTAGCTCTCGCGACGAGGTAAGCGATGTAGGCGCAATGGGATCGCCTCGTTATTATATGGAGTATTATTCGTTGCGCGTGATTAGCGTGGGAATCTGTCAGACTGCTTAATATCCACTCGGTCGAGAATTTTTACGTTATTTTTAATTATTCTGTAATATTTAGATTCTAGAATCTAGATTATATGTGAATAAACGAATGTATATCATATAATAACTATCGAGCGGAAAGAAAATAACAGCATCGAAATGGCATCCAAAAGATATAATATATAGGATCGCAATAGATTATGCGGGGCGGATAGCGCAATGACGTCAGAATTACGGCACAATTCTAAGATAAGTGTAATACAAAGAGAAGTCGCGATATGTACTCTTCTGCCGTAGCATACCGTAAGGAACAATAATCCGCGATAACGTCGTCGTATCAAAAGATTACATAGACTACCGTGAGAGATTCGCGGATAAAGGGATGCGTTTAAAACGCATCTCCCGGGGGTTTTGGGATTTCTTTGGTTATTCCGCCTCGCCGTCCGCGCTCCAGGAGAAAAAGTCAACATCGCGCCGGTAAACAGGGAGGAAAGCGACGTAAATTCTCAGCCTTGTCTCTAGGTATTATTCAGGCTTAGTGGATGCTACGGCCGCGCTACCCAAGGAAGCTCAGTCTGCGAGCGCAAACAAACGGTTCTAATCCGTTTAACATAAATACCACGTGGTTTAATTAAATCGCGCACCGCAAGGTAATCGTCCCGGCGTTGTGTCTGCGGAAACACAGCTTTTTCTTCCTTAGGTATCTCTCGTGATTACCGCGCGATGGGTCGATATTTATTCGCAATCGGACGATTCTTCATTCAGATGGAGGATATAAACTTGAGCTGCGAAAAGGAATAAAGCTTAATTAGAGGAAGAAAAGGGATAACTTCTTATACCGACATTTTACATTAAAAAAAAAGTTAACAGGATATAATTGAAGTTGTTCCAGTTATATAAATGTATCGGCGAGTAACTGCTCTTTTAAATGCAGCACTGCCCAGTAGAACTATTGACTCAATTTTGTTGCAAGTAAAGCTAGCTCTGTATCTTTTCCGCAGCGCTTTATTATTTGTATTATTCACGATATTTTAATCACGACTTTATTAACCATCTATAAAAATCGATAACTCATTAATCTTTAACAAGATACGCGAAGCGCTGCACTAGTTTATACGCGTTCGTCTATATTAGCATATTAATATCTTTTTACGTGACCTCAAAAATTCGAAATTTTTGAGGCTTTGTCAAAATTGAATTTTATGAGAATACATTTATACATTTAAATCTTTTAAAAGAGAAGAATTAAGAAGCATAATATATGAAAAGAAATATAAGAAAATCTTCGTTAAAAAATTGTATCTATAAATAAATTAATAGATTTAATTAATTTAATTAATTTAATTTTTGAAAAATGAAAAATTATTTTCTTCAAAGAAAAGATTTTAATATCAAAATTCTACGTGATAATACATATGAATAATCTCTTTCGATATTTAAAATATTTAATTACGACGCTTCGTAATTTTAACTTTGAGAGTATATTTACTTACCAGAAATATACTATCCATGTAAAATGCACCGTGGTACAATCGATATTACAAATAAATCTTCTCTTATCTCTCTGTACCACTTTTCAGTAACAATGTCTTGGAGACACTGTGTGAAATAATTTCTAGGCCGCATTTACTGAGTGTCAACGCGATAATTTTCGTCGTGAACCATTCCTCTCTACAGCGATGGCTCGCTGTAAGACGACGCTGCAGCAATAACGAAAACGACGACGACGACGGCGACGACGACGACGACGACGGCGACGACGACGATGACGATGGTGAAGACGGCGCTTAAAATAGTAAGGAAAGGGAGATGAATTTCCCTACTCAGGCTAATCTCGTAGAAGAGGTGGTCCTTTGTAAATACTTCGAGGGCTTTGTCTTCAAGTTACCGCGGGAACGAAACTCTCGGGCTTCTACTTAATCATTCGACTAACGCAGCGCTCGTAACGTCGCCCCGTTTCGCCCGCACGATTAGGATCTCGCGTTACGTTTTTCCAAAATACACGACATCCGCGTGTATTTCCTCCCGCTTCCCCTCTCCCCTCCCTCCCCGCCGCCCTTTTTTCACTCTCTTCCCGCGGGACTGAAGAACGAGAAATTGACGATCTCCATGGCGACCCTCGCCGCGTCCTGAATATCTTATGCACGAGCCCCATTAGCGGCAGGAACGTCGCGAGAATAAATGGCAGCCGCTTTTAAGGAGCTCGACATTCTATAGAATAGGAGACGCTCTATGAAAGGGAATGCTACACCTCCGTACAAAAATGTATCCGCGCGAAGGCGCATTTCCACGACGATCGCAATAAACTATTGCGAGGATCTCTACAAACGATCGTTTGTAATCAATGTCCCGACTACGGCTACGATTCTCATTATTTTACGACGTTCGCATAAATTGTATTCTCCGCGCGAAAGTAATTTACGTAACATTACATTGTAGAGGAAAAGATAGACAGATAGAAGATAAGGGAATCTCAAAGGAAAAAAGGAAAGACATCGAAATGTGATTTTAACTTTTTTCAGATTAATATAAATTTTTATTGAGGAATATCTTTTTATTTGTAAATTTTTATTTACAATACTGAATTATATGGTTTATCTGTTTTATAATATCTAAAAAAGTTTTATAATATCTATAACTTATTTTATTTACAGTACTGAATTATATGGTTCGTCTGTTTTATAAAATCTAAAAAAGTATAACTAATTACGCTGTGTGTCTTACATTTTCTATTTCATCTTCTTTTTCTTATAAGATTAAAAAGAAAAAAGTTTTGACTCAGCTAATGGAAATGTACTCTTTGTACAATATTCAGTTAACTAATGATCCGCTGTTATAATAATTACATTTGCCTTAATAATCTCAACTGTTTTATTTTTTTTCCAGGTAGACACACCTGACAGTGTTCTGCAAAGCGGTTTGGGTCTCGGACCCGATATGGGACACACGATTCTTCGTTCGATGGTGGATCCTCGAGATTACGATCGACTGAGATACCTGCAGATGAACGGCAGCCAACCAAATAGTTTCGAAGAAACCATTCACAGGGTACATCATATTTCATTTATATCTTGTAAAATAATACCTTGTAAATGATCTTAAAATCTCAAAATGTGTTTAAATTATAAGTTTCAGTACTTTATGTATTTTTCGTCCAAAATATTTTTTTTCGATGTCAGATAACTCTTAAAATATTTCTTTACTGAAAAGTGAAGTTGGATAATGTATAATAAGTTTCCGTTAGTAACGTTAGAAATTCCCAAGTGAAAACTACGCTTGTGCTCTTATACAATCGTGATTCTTGAATTCACTTGGAATGCCCCAAGTCACTCTCGCGAGAAAGTCGCTTTACCGCCGATAAAACCTTTTTAAACGAAACTTAAGAACGCTTCCATCCCCTTGCATTTTTCAGCTGAAAGTTCAAGAGGCGCTGCGAAAGAAAGAGCGGTTTCACAAAGAGCACGAGGAGGTGAGTGCCACATCTTAAGTCCATCTCTATCGCCCGATTCCGTAATGAAATTTTTTTCTTCGGTTTTTCGCTAACGAACTCAACTTGTAAACGAACTCGCGGGGACGGGAGAACCAATGCCGAAAATCACCAACGATCCGACGAGGAGGCGGTTCTCGTCTCGCCGTTCGCAACCGCGCTCACGATTAAATCCACTCGATCCCCTCGGCAAATCGGGGAATTTTGTCCCCCGTTTCCGCGCGTTCCCTTTAAATTGGCCAAATGGCGCTTCCGTTGAGGATACGTCTCACCGCATTTCGCGCGAGCACACCACGTCCCGCGCGCGGAACGCGCGCGAGCGACAATTTTCGTTATCGCGCGTAGCTGATCGCGATAAGGACGACGCGCGCGGCGCGCGGTGTCTCTTATCGCGATTGAGCCAACCCGCGTGCCGCACGGCCCGTTTATTTTCTTCCCCCTTTCTCGTACGTTGTCTGGATCATCGGCAACCCTCTTCTCCGTCGTTCGACTGATATTGGCCCTGGGAGCCGGTGGCCTTATCCGATACAATCCTGCCTCCCGCAGGACGGAATTCTCGCAGGACGAAATTTGCATGTATGTGCTATCACCGAGACCTCTCTTTACCTCAGCTCTCTCCCTCCGCGTATCCTCCTACGTCGCCCCGTCTCCCTCCGTTCCACGTACGCACGAGCTCGTTTTCCCGCTCGTCGTATCCTCCCTACTAACCCCCTTCTTCGGACTGTCTTTCGCCAACTTGATACCTCTTATTATGCAAAGTAGCCAGATCAGCGTGATATCATCATAATCGTCAATGCGTATACCGCGACGTTGCGCCGTGAATTCCTTATGCACGATCTCTCGCGATATATATACGCGCGCGCAGGTTTTTCGTACTTTTCTTATTTTCCGCCGCGTAGTTTCGCGTCGTATATGCCCGTCCAGCGTGAGATTTCTGCTTTTCTTCTTCTTCTACTTGCCTTGTACGTACGATCGCGAACTGTAAGCCAAGGACACGTCGCGTATTTCATCGTATATATAACATACTTTACGCTGTCTGTCGCTAATAATATTTTATAGCTTACGATTGCTTAATTAAGATAAAAGTGTTAATTGGAAGGGAGGAGAGGATATTTAATTTAATCAGGGCACGACATTGAACGATAAAATTGGATGAATGCTGGACTTGAAAATTTCAGTAAGGAAAGCTGCGGGAATTATCAGGACAGAATAACTTCGCGATAAAATCGATCAGCTAACTCGACGAAGGCTCTATAAAAATTTTAATAAACAGCCCTTTTCATTATTCCCGTCCATCCGATCTGACATTCTCCAAGATTAACTTTGATAAACAATACCCTTTCCTTGTCAATTTTTAATGATAATCCTCGATAAAAAATTTATCGTCGTTAATTTATCTGTTTTATAATGAAATATATATAAAGGAGAGACCGCAGAGGAGAGACTAAATTAACTACTTGAAAAGGTAACTCGGGATAATGTCGCGTGCGCGCGCGCGAGGCTTTATTAAAAAATTAACTCCGTTAAAAAGTTAGCCTCATGTGTCATATAAAAATCGAAGTCTTCCCTCCTCAGCTTCTCTTATCTACGACGCCATTATTTATTGGGACCATGTTCTGTACTATCGGAATTCCGCATTTTATGATAAAAAAATTTAGTTTTTGAGGACTATATAGATATAAAGGATTTATATAGATATAAAGGATTACGATCTATAAATGCAAAGATATATATAAATGCAAGGATTTGTATTGAACGTGTAGGACTTCTTAAAAATTAAATTGCACATTGATAAATAATAAAACAAAGCCTTATCCTCTTTTTCGAATTTGAAATGAAATTTATTTTAAGCGTTTTAATTTTCTGCAAATATCAAGATATTTGTGAATGTTGCGTCCAGTTGGATTTTTATTAAAATAAAATAGATTTGAAATTAATCGAAAAAATTCTATCTACGTAGAAAACACGGCGGACACGGGAATATTCTGCAAATTCCAAAGATATCCAGTAATGAGGGAAAAGTGGCGGTTTCGACGCAAAACGGGACCGTTTCGATGCAATCATTGTGTACCGTGCGGCTCATGCATAAGCGGGTGCATGCGTGTAACGCGTTGCTTCACGCGAGAGAACACTCGAGCGACGCATTACACACGCCTCGCACGTAACAACATCGGGAGGTAACGCCGCGGCGGCGTGGCGGCGCAGCTTGCAGCTCGTTACGTGTGTCGCGTATCCTCGGAGAATCTCTCCCCGTACGGGAGGGGGGAAGCCTCCCTCTCTCTCCCCTTACCATCGCTGCATGCCAAAAACTGCCCATTAGAGGGAGGGATCGCGCGCGTAAAAGCAGACGGGCGACGGCGCGAACGTCGTAACTGGGCGCACGAGCCGAGAGTTTTAATTACGCGAACGTAAGCTTCGTGGAATTCTGTGCGAAGTTTTAAAAAGAGTTGGGGAGCGCGGCGAGGGAGGAAGGGCCGCCAGAAATTGTCGAAAACCGGCGTCGGCATCGCGGACCGCCGCGCGTTTCCGCGGTACGGGGGTGCGCGGATCGGGGGGAGGGGGGCGGGGGAAGGCGAGAATGAGAAAAGGGCGGAGATACCGAAGGAGGACCGTTGGAAGAAATAAAGCGGCCATGTTCCTTTGAGGCTGCGAGCAATATGGAAATAAAGGTCGCTATCCGTGTAAAAGTTTTAGTGTCACCTCTACCTTCTCCGCGGGTTTATTGCTCCCCGGAGAATCTCCTCTTTCTTTCCTCTCTTCCCGACCTCCCCCCCCCTCTCCCTTTCCCGCCACGTTTCCTTCCTGTTCTCTCCTCCCTTTGCTCCCGGCTTCTTATCCCTCGCTTCGGCCTTCACTTCACTTCGGTTCGGTAGGGACCCGACACAGCCGCGGGCGACCACCTCCGACAATCTCCTCCTCTTCCTCATCTTCTTCCGCCCTGAACTGCTATTCCGGTCTTTTTTCTCGCCCAGGAAACAACCTTCGACCAGGGCTGTCCCTCATCAGGACATTACGTCTGCGGCATCCTGACCGATAATCGCTTTTCGTTTTATTCCAACCGCGATTATCGAGGACTCGCGGTCGTCGACCGTAAGAAAAACCGCGATACACGTACACAGTCCCTCTCTTGCCTTTATCCTTTCCTCCGTCTCTTTGCCTCCGCCGTACTCGGTTTGCGAAGATCTCAAAAACATCGACGGTGGTCCAATACTGGCCGGATAACGGCGATTATCCGCCCGTGAAAGAACCTTGCGCATGTAAGTTCCCGGTAATACCATTTAGATTACACGTGATTACGCTACCGGTGGCGCAGGGCATCTCCCGGCATGAAATTCAGTCCTTAGGCGCGCCATTACTTCAATTAGCTACTTACGTAGAAACGCAATTTGCGTAGAAGCGATCCTTGGACGTGCTGCAAAGTTTAATGAGAGATTCTGACGTATTTAAATAACGTTTCATTAATAGTTACATATCGGGGGACCTCTCAAGGATTAAGTCCTAATCATTGCGCTTAAACTTTGTAAACTTGATCTAACACAAGAAGACATAAAAATCAACTCGCAAGTACTCAGCTTACGTAATGAGAGATCCCAGGGTAATGAGTTCTCTTCTGCATCGATTATATCGAGAGCCATCATCTTCATCTTAATCACATCGAAACCATCATATATCTTCGTACAATATAATTTTCCCGGAATATGTAGAAGCGCGCCTTTAATGGCAACTCGAAAATCGATTCTTCCCCTTTTATTTCTCATCAGATAAATAATGAGAGTATTATAACAAATTTTCCGCGATGTAAAATCAATTTGTTCCAGTGCGATTTTTTTTGTTCAAAATCGGCAAATTTAGTTACGCGTAACTCCGCGCGCGATCGATCTTTCAAACGAATTCGTCCGTCGCGAGACTACGACGAAAGCAATCCCGCGGCATGCAAACACCAGAGCGAACGCGGCTAATAGCAGTTTTAATCACAATACCAGATAAACGTTTATTCACGGACGTCGACATTGTGCTGTTTCAGATACTGAGGGATATCCGGCAGGGTTTAATGCAGCTAGGACGAGACGGACGGGGTCAGCTCCCTGGGGGTAAGTACATCAAGGACTAACCTCCAGCTAGTTGTCGCCTCGTCTCTCCACGACCTATAACCCGCCCTCTCTCGCACCTCTGTCCGTGTGTATGTACGTACAGGCGCGTATGTGTCTGTGCGCAAGCGCGCGCGCGCGCATGGGGCAATGCGGCCGTGTGCGTGCGCGCGTTGAACAAAACGCGCACGTGCCAGCCGGTATGAGAATCGACTCCCAAATGCCTAACACCTCGTATGTGTAGCTGCTCGCTCTCGCGAGACTCATTTTGAGCATTCGTTTCCTGATGGCTCCCCTCGTAGTCTTTTTCACAAAATCTCGCTCCCCGTAGCCTCAGCAGCTTTTTACGATAAAGTGGAGGCGCACCGGAATGATACCTATGCCACGCAAAAAGATATTTGTACGGGAAAAAGAGAAAGGATAAAAGCTTTTGGTTTGTTCAATTAACATTGAATGTGAAAAGGAAAAAATAAAACATAAACAATAATACCAGCTGAAATGTAATAAAAAGCGCTATCTGAGAGACTACAATGTAAGAGTTATACTGTTATTAAAAGGAAATTGTTAAAATGCAAATTGAAAATATTATTTAATTACATTTAACTATGTTTATTAAATAGAGTTTGTTAAATTATATATATATATAATTTTTTATTTATTATCATTTTTAAACAACAAAGCTTATTAACATTAATCGTATTTAATATTAAACGTATTTTTTATTACGTTAGTGTCTATCATTTTTAATTTTATTCTTATTATAATAATGTATATTCGAGGCAAAAGGAATTAAATAGTTGAATATAATTTTAGGAGAAGCTTGTTTCATATATATATAATTTAATATTTATTTCTATTTTACATATTGAAAATATCGAGGAAATTCTCAAACGTTTAAAATTAAATAATGGAACAAGGAAATACTCGTGAAACTAATAACGCGTGAATTTTTACATAATGAAAATAATTAAGAATGAGTGTGATTACGATGTGCGGCTAATGTTATTTCACACATTCCAGCATGAATAGAATATGCTCTATGCTCTTTATTGTCGATTTATCATCACTGCGGTGGTTTTATTTCCTATTCACAAAGCTGCTGTGGCACGGCTGCGTCGCGAAACCCCTTGCGTACGCGAACTAATCTCGTTATTGTTAGTACCCGCCATCTTCATTTTCCAAACCCTCTCTCTCTCTCTCTCTCTCTCTCTCTCTCTCTATCTCTATCTCTGCTCTTTCACATAATCGCATGCACGCTCGTCATGCCCAAGTTTCTATACCAGAAGAGGATTTAAATTTTTAAGTCCGTTTTCATTAAACGTAATTTAACTCGACATTCGTCATTAATATTTTATATCCGATGATTGGTTAACATATTCTGAAAAGTACATTGTTAGGACATAATACACAAATTCATTCATTAAAAGTTTTTAAAATCTTCAAATGTTTATTTTTTCATGATATTTTTTTAATACCTTCTCTCCCGATAAAAAAAATTGTTTTTTTCTATAAAGTTATTTTTTAAACAGTAATCAATTTAAATTATTGAAATTTTGTTTTTGCAAAATTTGTCAAGATGCCATACATATACAAAAATTAATGTGCTTTCTATTATTTTAATTTTTAATTGGAAATTGAAATTATCGCGATGCTGATGTTCGGAAATCAGAGAGCAAAACGATAATTCGCAGATGATACGTACATGTACGACGAAGACGCGCGGTGCGGAGGCGCAGGTGGTTTAGGTCCCGGGCCAGGCGGTCATTGGTACGACGAACCACCTTACGAGTCGGATCCCGAAGACTTCCTTATGGGAGCTAGCGGCGGCCCGGTACCCACCGCGACTATCCAGAATGGAAGGTAACATTTTCGCAATTTGAAATACGAATAAATAAACCTGAGTTATTTATCGCGGATACAAAAAATTCTGATATTATCATTTGATAATATCAGAATAATATTATGAAATGTAACACTATATAGTTACGAATCACGAAAAGAAAAAAAATATAGATCTGTCCATTATCATATCAAATGACACCGTCGAATATATCAGGGTGTGTTTCACGCTGAATATGAGACCGGAGAACCGAGGCGAGGGTGTGATCTCTCTTCGAACAGCCGGCGATATCAGTTTGCCGCGCGATCGCTCGAGGAAAGGTGCAACATCGACGATGCGAGGTCTCATTGTTCCTCAGGGTCACAATAATCCGCCGACGATCATACCCTTAACGCATTCGAGGGCTTCTCGTGAGAGCGGAGATTACGCGAGTAGCGACGTGCAGGTAAGTCCACCGTTGTCAAGCGACAATCCGGGCAACTATCGCGCGCGTCACTTTGTAAACGTTGCATTATACAAACATTGTCGTGTTCAAGCGGAAATTCCTTTGCTGCTGGTACAATGACGTTATACCGTCTTACACGCCTTAATATCCTAGTCATAGGCGGCGGAACCGTTCATATCTGATAATAAATAAGCGTCAGTGTCAAAAGCCAGTGGCTTAAAGATAAAGATCGGTAATATTTTTGTGGTACGTTTTTTCTTTTTGTAATTTCTTATTCACGGGGTGAGTAGCGTGGTTAACTAGCCCTTGACAAAGTGAACGAAACGAACACGTGCTAACCCCGCCTCGTGATTCCGGCCGCTCGAAATTACCGAATCACCGTGCCCCGAAGTAAGTCACGAACCTCGTTAAGTCGCGGGTAATATTATTGCGACGAGGCGGTAATATCGAAGGACCGAATCCAGTCTGGATAAATCCCGTTAGATCGTAGCCGTCACTCCATAGCGGAATTACATTAAGTCACTGCGTTGCGATAAGCGCACCACGCAGAGAGGACGCGGGGGTACTGTCGGGTTCCCTTAGCCCTCGCCCGACCAAGTTCGATCTCCCCCGTGAGAGAAGCGCAGATCCGATCCCCGCTCGGATCCCATGGGCGTACAACAGGGAGGGGGGAGGGAAGGGGATTGGAGGGGACAGGTCGGCGCCTGTACCTTCTCGCGGGCGTACGTCACCGGCGTGATTTATTTAATTTTGGGGCTGCAGAGTGTGAGCTCGAGACTGTCGACTGTGTCGGTGGACACGAGTAGGAGCGACCAGCCTCCGATGGGCGGTCGCCATCCCGATCGGCCGGAGCATCACCACGAGCACCGTCACAACCATCGCCATCATCACGAACATCACTCGGTCTCACCCCGACCCAATCAGCGTCACCCCGCCGCCACTAGCACGACCGTTACCAACACCGTCACCGACGCAACGTCACCGCAAAGCAACGCGCAACGCCGCCCGGTTCCCAGATATGTTCGTATCTGCCGAATCTATGGATGACGTAGCTCTCTCTCTCTCCCTTATCACCCTCTCCCGCAGGCACACCCAGGCCCAAATTTCCATATACTACTAACCCACCTGTGTACGCTTGTCCGGCGCGCGACGTACGCGCGCTCGAGCCATTATACTGTATCTATGCCGAGCGTCTTCGAAAAATGAAAGATGGGGGAGTATTCCGGGCTAATTAGATGCTACAGACGCGTGAGGATACTCACGTATTCATGAATATGGATTTTTCGTTCGGCTTATCTCGCGCGCGTCAGATCGCGAAAGATTCCCTCGCGAAGGATTCCCCGCCTCGTGACCGATCGCTGTAACGTAACGGCTGTGCTACGTTTGAGAGAGACGCTGCCGTGCTCCGGTCAGTTTCCGGCGTGTTGCCTCGGTGAATCTAAGCGCCGAGAGCCACTCGATCCATCCGTCGGACGGGCGGACAATGAGAATTCGCGAGATTTACGGATTGTTTGCGAGGAATCGGGCGCGACGGCCCGGCGGTTGCGTTGAGAAATCACGTCGAATCTACCAGTTTCCCTGTCCGCCGTGCAAACGTTATTCTTCGCCGAGTTCGCAAACTCGATAACGATCAGATACCACTTCCGCGATGGAGCCTCAGCATTTACCAGCGTTTTGTTTGAACTGCCGGGAATTGTGTGCTTTCTTAATAATTCTTTCCCCCTCTTTTTCGTCCATCGATGTTTCTCCCCGATAAAGATGAAATATTGCAGCATACTGGTTATAAAAATGCAATATAAGAACCTGAAACATATATAAAGTTCGTAATATAATCACTAAGGAATTTGACATTTAAGAAGATTATAAAAGATTGATGGATAAAAATGACCGCTTTAAAAATTTCGATGAAGCATGATCTATGGTTTGCGCTTTATACACGTCTATATATATTTCATTTATACCTTTACTGTAGTTCAATCGTGATAGTTAGGCGTGCAACGTTATAATACTCGTGCTTGACGTTTTAAGCAAAAACTGGAGAACCTCATGATCTGATCGGAGCGCCAGAATAAGGTGCCTCATTTCCTGCTCTGACGCCTACACAGCACTGACAGCCTCTATGTGTATAAATAATACTCACACACTGACACGCCAATATTAAGTATATCACTAACCCATCTAAACCGGCGTAGCCTGCATACGCTATTTATTTTCTCATGTAACACGCAACCCCCCCCCCTCTCTATTAATATATCGAGTGTATAACGTGGTTAACACGTCGTGTGTAACACTTGTATACTTAACCCCTGGACTCATGTATATCTGCTGCTACTATTTAGTTTATCGCGAAAGTCACCTCGAAGGGAACATTAAACGTTTTACGTTGGAAACAATAGACTGTGTAATTACAAAATGTTTTAATAGTATAATCGTAATGTTAACGAATATTTCATCTGTAAACTATTTTATCACGCAATTGTTTGCGAAGTTGTGATATTTGAGAGTAGATAATAGATTTTTCATATTATTTTATATAATTTTAGAAAATTGTTCTAAAAATTCTTGTAAACTAAAATATCGTATATATTTTATAGAATACCCATTGCAGTGTCTAATCATCTCGAGATAAAAACGCCTTCGAGGTGGCCCTCGCGCTTGCACGTACGGTATAATATTTTTGACATTGGATACTGTATATGCCTTGGGACTTGATGCCTCTGTGCCTCTCATCACATCTGCTCTAACCATCCGGTGGCGGTCCCGTGTCCGACATTACCTAGCGATATGCCCGTAACCGTCGCCCTGTCTAACAGCATCCGCGCGCTATTAGATCCATCATAGTGTGCCGCCCCGCTCTCTTCCTCCTTTCGTATACATCTCACCATTAGAACTGTCTCTGCGAGGTGTCAACGTTTTAGAGTCGGAGTAGCGGCGAGGAGGGACTGTCGCCGAGCCAGAGTAGCGACTACGAAGATCAAGAAGAACTCGAGAGTCAACACTCGGCCGCCGTGCATACAGTACGTATGAGAGCAGTCACGTCGTGAAAAAACGTGCAGATTCCATTTCTATCTTTTTTTTTGCCCCGCACCTTTCCTTCTTCGCCATTTCTCTACGCGTACACTCAGATGCATGGCGTTCTTTAGTCACTATTATATACGAATAGATACAGGTAGCGCGCGTCCAAACAGTACGATAACTAAGAAAAACGTGCCTGTGCACACAACCGTCACTGACGGGCGATTAGTAGAATCACAAAGTATTGCGTTCCCGCTCTGTTCTTTGTTCCGTCATAGAAAGATTTTTCTGCGCCCCGAGTACTCGCATTAAATAAACTAAAAGTATTATGAAATATTCTCTATCGTGAATTTTTCGAGAGAAAAAAATACATCCTTTGAAACACAGACCACGCAATACATTTCTATTAGTAACAAAGTAATGTAACAAAATGATTTTACTTGGAAGATTATAGATAAAAAAGAAAAAAATAGCTCAGAAAGTCGATTATATGTAAAAGTGTTTATATTCAATAGATATTTATCGTGAAATCTTATCATAATATTTGATTCAATCACGATTACTCATGGTGTTTGATATCGATAACGTGAAACCGAGTTTATCGATCTTATCCCGACAGTTAATTCGCATTTGCATTAAAGCCACAGTTACGTCGTAGATTGTCTGTCATAAGTACGGGCTTTGGTCATATCGCCTCATAATGAGTATGTCTATCACTTAATAAACGCGTCGCTTGTAACAACGACGTGTAATATACAATCTCTCCGCTGATAACAGGATAACGGCATAACATTGTGACGGCGTTTTATTGTGATTATGTAAGCCAGTGGGAAATACGGATGTATATAATATATAATATATATATATATATGTATAGAGGATCACGTCGTTCTAACAGATTGGATTGCATGGCAATTTACGCAAACGAAATTGGCGTACTCCATCTTCATTCTTATTTCGAACGCACATTGATTTCCTCTGAGGATTTCACGCTCGCACCATTTACCTACTCCTCGCTTCATTAATGCAGCATGCTTTCGAGTAGTGTCTCACTATTGTGAAAAATATACCCGAGCACCGCACCGCCCCCCCCCCCTCCAGACAAATTATACAACCGCAACACGTTTTGATCTGTTCCACTGACAAGCTGACGTCAGCGTATAGATTCGAGACGAGAATAATTCGCTTCTATCGAAATATCTCACGATCGCGTTTCCAATGCAAATGCATGCATTGAATATAACGACCAAAAAAAAAAATGTCTCCAGTTGTCGTTTCTATTTCTAAAAATTCGTGGAGTTATGTGATAATACATATTTTGGGAAAAGAGAAGAGAGCGCAAGTAATTAATCGTAACAGAGATGAATATGCATCCAATGAGGCTCGGCAATTAATAGACGATGGTAATTGCAGTTATTTCGCGACGATCGTGCAATGATCGATGATTATTTAATGTAAATATAAATCGACTCTCCCAAGTTCCGATCAAGATGATATACTTTTCATGTCAGGCATCGGCCCTGCGCGCAACTCTCTACCGTGTCACATTCCAGGGCGCCATAAATGCATTATTGAAAACGGCTCGGCCAATGGAGATCCCTATTTCACATAGCTCCTCGATTTAATTAACGCGCCACCGGCGCGTCGCCGCGCCTTTCCCGATGCATTCGATGGAGCACGTATTCCGGGCACGGTGCGACCCCGATGTTCTCCAAAACTCAATTAAAATTTCCAGTCGGAGGCCAGCGCGCTGCTCGAGGGCGACGCCAGGGCGGGTATCGCAGGCCGCGCGAGGAATTTAAGGCACGACGTGCAGCGAAAGATCTCGAGGCTGCGCCAGGATCGCGCGTCCTCGGAGGCGTTCCCGTGCAGCGCGAGCAGCGTCGAGAGCCTGCCGAGCGGCAGCGGATCGAGCACGCAGGCCCTGGTGCGCGCGGGAAGCAATCACAGCTCGATATCCTGCGAGGACAGAGACGCCGTCAGCCCGACGTCCATCGGCCCGGTCCTGTGTCGGGCGAGGGCGCTCGTGGATTACACGCCCAGTCCTTACGACAAGGACGCGTTGAAGTTCAAGGTCCGTCTTCCGTGTGATAATCGAAATTCCATGCGAAACTCCGTAAAGTTTAACGGCATGAGCGACACGGCAAATTTCATCGTAATTACCTGCAAGCACGACTTGCTTAATTGGCGAATGTACCTATCTAATAGCTCGCTGCTATTAATCGCCGTTTTTTTTTTTTTTTTAATTAATTCGAGTGGAAATTATATTGGAATTCGTATAACATTTTTTTTTTCGCGTATTTCATTGTCTTCCGTTTTTCCAAGTCATCCAAAGGAGAAACTTGACAATGCGCGATTCGATCGTACGTATTCGTGACGAAAGGGTTTCCCTTTATACGAATGCTCGCGTGGCAACGTTGTTTCAGAAGGGAGACGTAATCGATGTGGTACAGATGAACAAGAGCGGGCTGTGGAAGGGCGTCGTACACAACAGGATAGGCCACTTCAAGTTCATAAACGTCGAGATACTGAACGACAGGGTGCCCAGGCGGGGGGAACCGGAGCGGGGCAAGTGGGGTCAGAGATACAGGCAGAAGCCGGGTTCCGTTCAAGAGCTCTTGCAGAGAATGAATCTTCAGGTAGAGAGAGAGAAAGAGAGAGAGCAATATCTCGCCGCGGCTCGAACAAACTGATTCGCATTTGCATGGCGTCGAATGCAAAGTAGAGAACTTGCTTTTATATATTTCTTTATTCGGTGTCCCTATCGCGCTCCCATTCCCCGTTCCCATTCCGCGCCATCCCTTCTCTCGCGTCCTCCCGCACCATCCGCATCAGCTTTCCAGCTTATACCTTATACAACTTGCAGGTTCCGCAGACCGTGACGAGTTCTTTTTGTTCGATTCCCCCCTCTTCCTATTCGTCTCCTTTTCTCTCTCCGTCTCTCGCTCCTTGTCTCCGCCTTGCTCATTTTTATCTTCACCTGCTATACGTCCTGGTATTTCCTTTTGGTCGTTAATTTTCTTTCTGATTTACCTCCAGCATTCGCTATGCGTACGGAATATCCCGAAATTGCGTCATATATCTTTCCAATCGCAAATATTAAAAATCAAATTGGCAATTGTTTTTTATATCAAAGTATCGAGTTAAGGGATTAATAAATTCCAAGAATCTAAATAGATAACAAAATCTTATTTTTAGTTAGTTTTAATTTTATTCTATTTTTATATTTCAACAGAAACTTTATTTAAAAAAGACTTAATTATATAAATCTTAAGTTATTACATTAAGACTTATTTATATTGATTATATTAATATTTCATGTTGGATGTTAAACGTTTATTAAATATTGCTCGCAATTTTATTTTAGAAGAAAAAAAATTGATTCTAAATTATTCATAAAGCAATATTCAGTATAGTTCCCTCGGGTATTATGTACAGCCTCGCGATTCGACGACAGATTAGACTTGATCGTGATTCACTGTCAAGAGGCGTGTCTCGCAGGGTCTCCTGAGTCGAAGGTACGGAAGCGACAGGAAGGGATGGGACGAAATGATAGGGCGAGGAGTCGCTGTACCGGAAACGTCGTTTCCGATTCAGGAAGCCGTGCCACTTAATTAAGCCGCTATGATCGATCGTTTAATGAGCGTCGCAGATTCGTGTGCGCCTTTTCAGCGTCCCGGTATACACTTAATTGAAGCCGGAATGGCCCTCTGTGCGAATTATATCAGCGAATAAAGATCCAAAGTATCCGGCTGATTGCCCGAGACCGTCGTTAAATCTCGCGTGACTGTACAGTCCGTCTGAAATGTTTGATTATTGGAATATCTTCGAGGTCACGAGATATACTTTAGATTCTTTGAAGCGAACTCCGTCGTAATTATGATACTCCTCCGTACTAAATCGAGCTCCCTCAGAGATCTTTTGTCCTATCCTTTAGACATCGTCTCATAACATCGAGACATGTATTTTGCAAAGAACGAATTTTTCTTAAATTGCAAAGGTCGACTAAATAGGGAAAAAAATTGTATTATGGAATAAGAAAAAAAAAAAACTTTTTGCTTCTCTCTGAAATTTATTTTTCAGTTTGAGATTATATCATTTTCAGTGCACATATTCAAATCGCGACGATATAACGTTTAGTTCGGAAAGCTTTCCAATCACAGTGTGAGAAATATTGCTGAGAGGGAAATTCCGTAAGCTTCTTAAGGATAATTTTATAAGAATTCCGTAAGCCTCTTCTCCGAATGTATTAAACTGCGAGCGCGTTTCATTGTACAAGTGAACTATTCAAAGCTCTGTTAAGATGGAAGGTAGCGTCTCAAAGATGAATGTTACGCTCGCGCAGGAACATATTCCAGTTTTTGTGCTGAACGGATACGAGGATCTGGAGCTCTTCAGGGAGTTAGAGGCGGCGGATCTGGACTATTTGCGTATACATCAACCCGAGCATCGTGCCAAGATACTCACCGCCGTGCAACTCCTACACGATCTTCAGTGTGAGTATACCGAACGTAGCAGCTACATATGTATTATTCACGTCTCCCCGAAGCCCTTTTCATCATCGTTGCTATTTGTCTTGCTGCATATATCATGTTACAATTAATACAAGTTATACATCTTTAAAATTGTATCGTAATTTCATATAAATGGAACAGCTCTTTCATTATTTAATACACAGGAGATTAAAAGTGCAACTTTAAACTATTAAAACTTCTCTAAAATGTGGGATATGAAAATAAAAAATTTCGAAATTTTATTTTTATTTTACACTTTATTAACTTCATTTATTTAACTTTTTATTTATTTAACTTTTTTAGTTTTTATTTACTTTCCAAAAATTCTTAAAAAATCTTGTTATGAAATTCATTGCACACACAACATAATAATATATTTACATTTTAGATTATACATATATTTACATGTATTTCAAAATTATTAATCTAATAACAAACTCATTGAAAATCGGTAATTAAATTACAAAATCTCACGCGCGTGCTCCTTTTCCTACCCTTACAGCGGGCAGCGAGGGTGACCTGGCCTCGAGTTCAGAGGGCGACGAGGTCAGTCGTCTGGTCTTAACCTCCGGCCAGACGTCCGGCCACTGTTCCCCGTTTAACCGACGCCAGTTCCCACGGGACTCCGGCTGCTACGACGCGCACAAGAATACGACCAGTCGGCGGACCATCAGCCCGGAATCAACGACGACGTCGACGAAGCTGTCGAGGGAGAACAATTTGGACGGCGCGACGGCCGTTACGAAGAGCACCGGCGGTGCCGGCGCCACGGACGGCGGTCTGACCGATGCGAAGGACGACTTCCATCCCAACATACCGATCTCCGGCTCGGTGACGAGCCAGAAGGAGGGCCAGTTCGAGAAGTCGCCGCTACTGCGGGGCGGCAACGTGCGGTACATCGCGAAGCGGGGCAACTTCGGCGAGACGGTGGTGATCGAGGACGCCTGCGAGGGCGGCCGCGAGAAGCTGGGCGGCATGGCCAAGTACATGGTCGGCGGCGCCAATGACCTCGGCCTCGAGAGCACCGGCAACGTCACCGGGCTGAGCCAACGCGGTTGCCTCAGCGAGAAGTCCAGCGACTCCGGCGTCAGCTCGTCCAGCATCAGCTCGGCGCCCCCGCCCAGGGACAAGGTGCTCGCCACCGCCAGCGCCGCGTCGGACTCGCCGACCAAGACCTTCGGCAGCTTCAGCAGAGCGTCGCCGACTTCCCAGGGCGGTAATAAGAGTCAAAGCAACGACGCGAGTTACCAGTGAGAAACATCGCAACAGACCGGTAGTCGTGGCGCGACTTTAGCTCGAAGGTAAGAGAGATACGAGAGAGTTAGGAGGGGGATCGCGCAATTAACCGACTTAATGGAGCGGCCTTAGTTCGGATTCAAAGGGTTACACGGTCACGATCGTCTTCAGGCTACCGGTGCCTACGATTCGTCCACGAGATTACTTGGGCAATATCGGGATCAACAATGGGGAATATCTCGGGCATTTTATATATCCAACGAGAAGTATATTTCCTGAAATTAGCGATCCTGACGAGCGTACTTGGCGATAAGATGTCTCTTCCATTTCGGACGGCTCACAGAGTTGAAGCAATTTTATATCTAACGAAATTGCTAACGATACACGTGTAATAATAATCGATAGTTGTCGCCGTGTCCGCTCGTTGCGATGATCATCGTTGCGCTCAATCGCATCTCGATTTGAAATATCTTGCAAAGCAATATCTCATTTCCATGTTATTGTTGTTGACAAAGTACCGCGGAAGGGGGGGGGGAATGGTCTCACTTCGTTTGATAATTCTTGTCACGAGCGCGAAATGGAAATTCTAATATCTCTCGATGTAATATCTCTCCGATATTAATGTCGGGAGGGACATTTTGTTACTCCGTGTCTCTGGATGCGCTGCGGCAAGAATTCCGCGAAACGTGCGAATTTCTAGCAATTGTAACAAGGGCTCCCCGGAGCATCCCGGGCGAAGTTTTCTTCGCGTTCACGTCCCGCGTTTTCGGTCCGTACGAGATGCATCTCGAACGGCTGTCTCCGCATCTCGAAACCGCCAAGTCACATCGCGCCTCTACGTGTAGCCGTGTAATTAATAATAAGCGAATACTATGTGATACGGTAGCAATATAACGATCGATTAACAAATAGGTAGAAAAGAAAAGAAGACAACGGCCGGCGCGGCGACCGTCATTTGCGTCGCGCGAATCGTCGTCGCGATCCGTTACGTACAATAAATAAAAAAAAAAGGGAGAGAGGAAAAAAAGAAAACACGAATGAAGATCCAATATAACGTTATGCGTCCGTTAGTTTTGATTTCACGTTTGATATTGTCTGCCGGTTTTATCTTTGTCTGGGACAACCTCGCGATTAATCACCGCAAATGCTATATAGCTCGCCCGACGTGCGTTCGTCAAAAACTGCCAGCGTTATCGAGTATTCTCGTCTCTCGTTGAACGGCGATCTCTTATCTCGTTATATTTTGGACTCGCTTTTTTGTAACGTTCGTTCGTATAGTCTCGCCGCTGAAAGATGACACGCGCGCGTCGAAACGTGCGCTAAACGAGATAATTATACGAATCGCGTAACCCCCCGGGACAACACTCGAGACAAACTTTTCGCTTAATACAAACGCGCGCGAAACTCGTGAGGATCCACCTTAAGCGGTAACGTGGAGAGGAAAAAAAAATGCGTATTATCACAGGATGCCTTACGAGCGGTTTTTCACTTACTTAGCTGATTTACGCGACCTTTCAATAATAAAGCCCCCTCCGATGCTCGACTCGCGCGCGCGAGGAAATATATATCCCCCCCCACTTACTTTCCACCGTTCGCATGTATAATTTTGTACGGAGTAGCGTGGAGAACCCGCGGAAGTTTCTCCACGTGGAGAGAACGCGGCGCCCCGCGCATTTTCGCCACTCGGACTTTGCTTACTATTAACGACCGACAATCCCCCATCGTCGACATGTCAGTTGTTCGACACGATGGAACAAAGCCTGTACATGTGTGTATATTGACCACGCCACGGGAGGAAAACGTTGAAAGTTACAGAGATTTTGTATGTACATATAGATAAATATTACGCGTAGGACGATAACGAATGTTTTGTATTGACCTTGCCCCGTTTGCCAAAACTTAAGACTATAGGCTGTATACATAATGCGAAACACATTATATCGTACCGTTGGAACTTATGTACATCTCTTGTATAGTGTAAAGTCATAGATGAATTTATGAGACGCGGGAGCGCAATCAGAGTAATTCAGGGCTGACGAGACCAGTGTTGTACGCGGGGAGGAGGGAGCCGAGAGAGGCCCGATGGATAATAATAAATCGTAAGTAATAATTTTAACTGTTACCGAGACGCAGCGACGGCTCGACGAAGCGCATTATATTAATTAAAAATAGGAGGAAAAGAAATTAAGTACACGGGAGAAACGCGCGCCCGCCCGCGAACGAACGATCGACACCAATTATTCGGCGGATATACAGCATGCGGAAGCGATCGGTGATATTTAGAGAGTTATCGCGATGCCATATTACGATAAACGTCGCATACCTATATCGACAAGTTAATTGAAAAAGTATCCAAAAAAAAAAGCAATTACTGTTCACGGCTTCAATCGTCTTAGACGATCAAAAGATAACAGTCGGCAAGCGTTAGGTATATATCTTCATTGACATGTATTGAAAGTGAGCCAACCAATAATGATACTTCCATATATACGAATTAAAATGATCGATAATATGAGTTGAAGATTACGGAGGCTGCCGTGATCTCCATATCAATGTTTATCGCATCGGAAGTATGTTATCGCGATAACAGCCTGTTGAAAAATGTTTCGCACGACACACTTTTTACACAAAAATCCACGTAACGTAGAGCGTGCTTCTTCTGCAACTGCGCTACGATCGCACACACACGAGGAGCGGCGATTGAAGGTGGAGGGGCGGGGGGACAATGGAACACCCGATCGGCCCGGAAATCGGCTGTGATTAGACCGAACGAAAGAGAGTATAGTCGCAAGTTGCTTCCATCGACGTCGAGATTGATTAATGCGATTAACGCTCGATCGCGGCCGCAGCGTGCGATTTTCGTGCCGAGAACCGAAGTTCCGCAATATCGAGATTTACGTCGCGTCCCGCCCGCGCGCGAGCGCTCCATCAGCGGGCACTTTTTTTATCGAGTTTGCGCGATGATCCGACGATCCGAGAGAGAGGCGCCGGGAGGACGTATCCGATAAACGGTACGTCGATTTCGGTGATGTCTGCTAGTTTATCCGTTCCATCGAGAGTACCAACATGTGCGGAGAATGAGTGAAGTGGTTGTTATTAAAGGGAGGGGCTGAAACAGCGAGAGAGCATGAGAGGGATGATTGAAAATTGAGTATGCATGGCGCGTACGTGTGTGCGTGTGTATGCGTGAGAGAGAGAGAGAGTGTGAAAGAGAAAGGAAGAGAGAGAGAGAGAGGAAGGGGGAGAAAAAGTACAGAGGCGAGAAGGGCGACGCGATGTTAAATTTAGTAACGAGTTTATGAGAATACGAATAGACACGATAGTGATTTTATTTAGCTCGGGAGGAAAAAAAATACGCAGCATTTGATGTAAAGTAAATTCATTCTAATCGTAGACCCAAGGCGCAGTAATCGAAATAGGATAATTTAAGCGTACCTTAAGGGAGAGAAGCGAGTCGTTGACGAAGGAAGGGCCTATATGGTGTTGGGTCTTGCCACGATCCGAGACGGCGAAGCGAATAGAGAATAAATTTTATTCGAGTCGAGATCGAGAACGCCACGAAGCGCGGCGCTTATAGGGTCGAATGAAATTAAGCGTTTACGTAGCGGTCTAGTCCATTCTTCTCGCGTGATTAACGAGTATAATGTACATAAAGTAATAAAAAACGATAAAAGAATGCAACCGAATCTAGAAGAGAAACGGCGAATCGCGGCAGCGAATTAGCGCGCATATCGTCGTACCTTTTTATAAGCTGATTTTGTATTTATTGATTAATTGCGGGGTTTATAGATGGTCACACACACACGAATCACACACACACGTAATTCTCATCGTCTCTCGGTTCTCGTAATGATTTCCAACGATAAGTGTTAATTTATTGACTGTGAATAGAAATAAACGATGGAAGAGATTCAAACGAGAATCGTGTCTCGCGTATTTCATTTCGCGAAAATCACGCGCCCTGGCAAACTCCCGAATCCATAATCCGCCTCATTATCCCACCAGGAGACAAAGAGGCCAGGCTACACCAGGTAAACGGTAAGTGCTTCATTAAGATAACATATAGATACAGCGTAATCTCAAAATGCTAGCGCGCTTAACTAAGCAACGCTTAATTGACTGCTAAGATTTTAAAATCAAGCCGAGGGAAGACGTAAATAATGTAATATGTAATTAACGCGTTATTCGTAAAAATCATAAGTATTTTTTAACCGATTGATTCATAAACGAGCAGTCATTTTTCATAGCTTCTTCTTTATAGCTTCTCATAGCGATTTATATTAGACGGTGTAAGTTTTTTTTTTTCATCATAATTGCTCTTTGTATTGAGTAAAGTCGGAGAACTGAAGCTCTTCTCTTTCGAAAAAGAAATTGAGTAATTTCTTTTTAGATGAAAAGATTATATTGAAACCTGAGAGATAATTTTCCTTTGACTTTATTGAAAATTTTTTAGTTTTATATAATGACGAGAAGACCTACATTAGAATTTAATGATATTTACTGGCTTCGCAACACTGCGTGTCTCGTGTGACGATTTGGCATGTATTGAAAGTAAGAACGGCGAAGAACAATCATGCCGTTTGATTTTCAACAATGCAAAGCGGAATCGCGGGAGAATTCCACCGCCTCCTTCCTGGCGGCCGCTCTGTTTCGGAAAATGCCTCCGCTCAAACGGAATAATTAGACGGTTTCTTACTCGATTAACGAGCGCCCGTTGACGCTAAGCGTCGCGATGTCGTTTCATAAAGTACGCGACACCAACTCCCGCTTTAACGCTGCCACGCGGTGCCATTAGCGGGAAGAAGTTCCAGGTGACAGACGACTCCACGTCCGCCGCCCCGCCGCGCCGGGCCGGTAACTCCCCGGCGCTCGCAAACTTCGCGCTTTTGGTTATCTGCCATTACTTGGAAAGATCCTCTTATTTAACTATCCGCCTGCTCGCTCGCCGTTGCTCGTAATTGTGGAAACTCCGGGAAACGCAGCCGTCTCCTTCGCGCGGCGCTGCCGTTCGACGCACAACGATCATTATTCCTCATCGCTTCTCCCCGATGGATTAAATTAAATTATAAATGTACATTTTACGCGCGTCGGTCCGCAAAGAGAGCTTGCCCACTGTCTCTACGTGCAATTAAATATCAACGTCGGCGCCGCCGCACCCCCGTATTGTTAATTATGGGGACAATTAATGATAGAATCTCGCGCGATCTCATTATCGCATGCATTAATTGACGTACGAAATCGCTTCCGTTTAATTTCCCCGACACGATCTCTCTGCGATGTCGCGCCGGAAGTACGTCATCGGCGTTTGAAGTTGTTCAACGGTCAACGCGACGCGACGCGGCGTGTCGTAACGAGACGATCTTCCCCCGAAGAAAGCACGATAAAAAGCACTTAGTAATGTATGTAAATGCACCCTCCGAGGATCATTCCGAACGTTACGGCGTATACGTGTCCATTCGTAAGCTTTATTTCGTACCCCAAGGGGACAGCGGGGGAAAACTTTTGGCGCGCTAGATTATGGCGGTAATAACTCGACGAGTTTCTTTGCCCGCGACTCCGTGGTCCACGTGAGCAAATTCTTCATCCCCCTCGGGGAGGGGTGAGATCTAATTTAACTTTTAGGGTCGCGCGCGTCGCGTAATCACGACGGTTTCTGGGTAATTCAGTCCGACCGCCCGTGAATTCAGTTACGTATCTTGTATTACTCGCTTCGTTACATCCCGTTTCACACGGTGGAGGAGGGAAGAAATCTTTATGATATTTCACGATATATTGCTCGACGAATTTTATCTGCGACATTAAACGCTTCCGTTATCGCACGAGAATATATACGTGATAATGTTACATATTAGTTATTTGTACAAGAATCAATATATATAGCACACGAGCGAAAGCGACGCCGCAAACTTCTAATCGATTAAGTCGTTGCGCTTAATCTCCGCCGTTATCTCGACTGTACGCGCGCCGAACTGACACGCGATTCATTGCGCGTAATTTTAATAATATAATCGAGTCCCGCCCGTGTGAGTTTCGCTGTATTTCTTCTCGGCGCGCCGAGATTTATCGCGCGAAGGATAATACGCGCCGCCGCAGCCGCGCGGCGCGCGTATATATTGCAGCGCGCCATAAATCGCGCGATCGGACAACCACTCCGTCCGCCGTCCACTCCAACCGATCCCGGGCGGTTATCAGTCGCGCGATCGGGCAAAACGATCGGTTATACTTCGCGCGGGGACTTTCGCGCTTCTTGCACGCCCATAACAACCTTAATTACTGTCCACGCTAATGAATCAAGCGGGGAGATATCGCTATCGGCACCGCGCGCATAGCTGAGAGAGGCCGTACGAAGCTCCGTTGCGAGAGATTGCTTTTACACCCGAGGCGAGATAAAACCAGAGCGCGCCCCTTTTTTTCTTCTTTTCCCCCCTTCGCCCCTCCCTTCCACCCAACCCCCTTTCCGCAACCTGCGGGGCGTTATGTCGAGAAAGCCGCGATCGGTTCATCTATTTCTATATTAGAGCCGGCGAGACGGCTCGTAAATCACGTTCTCTGCGTAAGCTTGCCGCGCGGCGGCGTACGTGCCACCCTAAATAACTACATTCTCCGTGGTATTAATGAAAGCATTCCGATCGCCACAGATTGCCAATGGAGGTAGCTAATATCCAGTAATTGCAGATCGCCTTCTGCAACGACGATTGCCCGCGGGGATGCCAATACGACTTCTTCGCGACAGCCGGGGATCGTGAGTTACGGACGATCATGCAATTAAGTGGCGGGAGGATAAAGCATTGGTTCGACAGGTTCGACAGCAGCTATTTTTTTTTTTATAACGCTTGCAGATGTACTTTGCCTTTGGATCAATGTATTTGATATTATTTCTACATTTAAATGATATGTAAATTAATATCTAAAGCTACGCATATTAAAGTTGAAAGAGATAATAAATCTCTATAGTTAAAAAATCCTTTGCAAACGCAGAGCAATGAGAATCCCAAGCTGCTCTTACATTGCGAGTTAATAATACAATATTAATATTTATGTTGGAAAATTGCGTTGCTATCAAGTTATTTTTTCTTTACTGTGTACGTCTGGTTTCTTGCATTACAAGTGTATTTTAAATTGCTAAATAATATTAGACAGCCTCGGACGTTCCCTCGGACGATACCCTGTATTATATGCATATATATAATGCAACCTGCAAATATTTGCTTGTTACGTGTCTAATTCGTTATTATCGGACTTGAAGCTATCTACGATAGGTAAGTACCTGAAATTTGCATAGCTTGCCGACTAATTGGACCCTCAAAGGCGGAATCCTAGTAAACTTTGATAACTAGCCGCACCTTGTTGAGCAACTATTGTTCTGCTCAGTTTGCGAGCAACAAGTTGGGCACTGATAATTAGACAAGTTAAGACAACTATGACCGTCCACAATCGTTAGCCGATAATAGGATTAAACGTACTTACAGGAAGTGCCAATATAGGCGACAAACTACCCTCCGCAACTCCCCTCCTATATATTACAAATAATGATTTTAACCTTTGCCCCAGCTACGATATGGAGATAGCATTAAATATTACGAGATAGTGTCAAATACATAACGTGGAAAATAAACTACTGACATCAAGATGTGCGTCTATAAAAATCTGTAGAAGTTTTACTTAAGATTTTAATTATTGATAATGTATGCTGAAGCGACGAGAAAATGAAAAAAAATTTACAAAAAATGACTCATACCTTTGATATTTTCATTCTTCTTCAAAAAATTCAGTTTCTTTTTGCAATTTTCTTTTTTATTGAAATGCAATTGTTGATTTCACTCTCGTAATCTAATGCGTTATGTAGATTTCATTTCACGTCATTTCATAGCGAAAATACAGAACTCATTATAGTAAATGCAAAGCTGTAAGCATGCAATAGAAGATACGTATGTAGCAAACTAGATACCTGAAATATCAATCATGCGCGCCGGAGCTCATCACGCATCTGGGGATGTATCTCCTCGCGTATGCAAAACGAAATTCTGCACATGCGTTGAGTCATGAGCGAGGATTATATTTACTTACGGGCGTCCTGTCTCTCATAGTTTCTCGTTTCTGACAGAAACAACATCCCATTAATATCGTGATAGAAACGTGAGGTCGCTTCGCGCGCGCTACGACGGCTAACGGGGAAACTCGGATGCTTCGTATCATTACCGCGATACGCAAGCCACACGCCGTGGTTACAGATCTAGATTAATAGAACCCTAGATGTGATGACACGCTGGTTTCTCGACGGAAAAGTAATCGGTATCTATGCGCGCTCTCGGCGCTCTAAATTCGTATATAAGAAGTTAACGCGAGACATGTATTTTCTTTAGGAGCACGAAAAGTTTCGAGCACCAACAAAAATATTTTTCTTCACAATCCGATTCCTAGTACAAAACGCCCCGTCTAGTTTATCCTTACTTCCTCTCTCATATCCAATGCTACATACATTTATAGAGTATATATGCTAACTCCTTACGTCGCTACTTCCTTGCAACCTCGGAGCCTAGCCGCGGGATATCTATGAGATACACTGCATCTTATTCTATTTTATTCTCCCTATCAGATTCTTCTCAGATGTGTATCACGTGACGCGGCGACTGCCGCCGAGATACGAATGTAAAGTAATGATATCCGGGTTTCACGGAAGCGCGGAATATTTGATATCACAGGGTGACTCACGTGTTATACATCTTTATTCGACCCGGTATGTATACCGACGATTTGACATTTCTATCTTCTATAACTATTTTTTCCCCCGCGCGGAATTGCCATTTCGCGTCAGACATTTCCGGGGCAGCGTTTTCACGTGTGTACGTCGCGTCTGCAACGTCGAATATGTAAGACAATCAAGAGCACGCGGAGAGCGGATGCCAAATCACAGCGAATGCA